ATGCACGCAGCCAGCAGCTGCTGGCCAGGAGGATGTCAGCGCCCTGCTCCCCGTCCTGCCCAAGACGCTGCGCTCGCTGAGCCTGAAGGGGAGCCGCATGGAGGAGTCGCACATTGAGCTGCTGCGGCCGTTGACGAAGCATCTTGAGGAGCTCGCTTTTGGACGCAATTTGGGCGTCATGGCGGCGTCCAAGCTGTTTGTGCCGGCGGAGAAGGACGAAGAAGACACCCACATGACTGACGCAGGCGATGCCGAGACCGAGGAGGAGGAGCCCGAGGAACCTTGCGCCCTGCGCTACGTTGACTTTTCGGACCTCTGGGGCAGTGAGCTCGACCTCGTCGATCTCTTCTCGAAGAAGTGCAACCTGCTGCAGGCAACGTCGAACCCGCTCGAGGTCATTGAGGTGTCGGAGCAGTCATTCAAACCCCTGTCGCGCAACAAGACGCTCGAACGCATCGGGTGGACGCTGCAGGAGATTGGCAGCAGGTGCTGGATGGTGCGTCTGCACAAGGACGGCGACCGCGGCCACCGCTGGTGGAAGATGGGCGCCGACCACTGGGGCATGCGGAAGATTCCCGTGGCGCGCGCCGATGTCGGCGGCATGTACGGCTCTTTCATGTTTGGCCGAAAGCTCTGAGTTTGGTCTGCGATACCCCTTTCACGATTCAGCGGTTGCATTGTTGGATTTTGCTTTTTGATTTTGCTCGATGCGCAGCATGGGTGATGGGAGATGGAATGGGTATGGCACGACACAGCACAGCGCAGCGCAGCGAGGCAAGCCGTGATTTGGCTCGACTCTTGTCATTTTTCTTCAGGGAGATCGTTCATGTGAACGCTCCCATTTGTTATTGGGATTTGCTTTTTGTCTGGTGTTTGGGAGATTCAAAAGTATATCCAGGGGCATGGACAGCGAAAAAGGGCAGCAAAAATACCTCGACACGACGAATTGCATTGGGACGGGCGGCAGGTCAAAACGACTGAGTTGGCATCTGATCATCTCTCCTCTCTTTTTTTTTTCTTGCTTGGTTGAAACAAGTTTCTCTATTTTCTGTACGCTATTTAGTCTTGGCAGAGTCGTCTGAGGATGATGCACTGTTTCGCACAAATGATCAGCCATGGCCATATCGCTGCTGTATATTGCATCGCATGTGACATTCACAAGTTTTGCTCGTGATCTTGATGGACGTTGATGAGGTGCGGGTGCGGATGCGAGCAGGGATGCTGTCACTGTGTCGTCATTGGCACTGCATTAGGAGACGCGGACCCTGCCATGACTGGACCCTGGGTGCGCTGCTTTAAGGACAAGCAGGGGCTGCAAGACGTCTCCACTTTGGGCCTGATGTGATTGATGTTGCGTTGAGCCAGATGTGGCTTGCATGTGGATGGAATGCCAAATAAAGTGCCTGTACGACTTGGAAGCGACGCTCTCTCTTAGCAGAGCGAGACCTCGTATGAGGGGGCTCCTCAGTATCTCAGTGAATGTGCAAAACAGGGTGCAGGTTGCTTGGCATCTTGCGTAGTAATTGGGAACGCGACTGTGACGCAGGCCCAGCCTTTGTACTGAGGATCGAGGCTTCTCTCAATTTCTTCATTCTACTAATTGATGGTCATTTTCACTCTGCGATATTTATACACCTCGAAATACAGTTCCCATTCAATGCCTGGTGGAGCTGTCACGTCCCGGATTTCATTGGGCGTGGTCGTTCGTTAATGAGGTTTCGCTAAGCGCCTCGCCCGCGACAGGGGTCTCCGACGGCAGACGGCCGGCGATTGACTGGCAGCCAGTCAGCCGGGTGGCCGCCTCTTCGCAAGGCACGTCTCTCGCCCTCCGACCCAGGGACTGGTTGGCTGTGAAGCATTCGGTCTGGGCAACAGCCCGGCCCGGCGCGCGCAAAGAGGCTCGCTTGATCCAGGCGGAATGAAACGGTGCGCGCGGGCGCTTGGTGAATCAGGCCTCGTCCGCTGTGCGGTTGCGGCGTCAAAGGGTTGTTGGCTTCCGTTGAGGTACTGAAAGTGTTATAAAGAATGGTCGTCTGGCAGCGTTTTGTTATGTGTTTTAGCCTTGTGATTCATTCATTCACTGCAGCCACTTTTCTAACGCCCGAGCCTTCTTTTTTATTGTCTTGTTTCCTTTGACTCTTTCTTTCAAGTCATCATCATACTGCAGGGCAGTCGCATATATACCCCGAAACAACAGCTCAGAGCCAGCGCCCACATTGTTGCATCACTCCGCATTCCATCGGCCTCTACATATCTACAGCAAGCGGGGACTTTCGATTCCCGCCATTCCTTCCTATTTTTACTTGCTGCCTCTGCATTCTGCATTCTACATAAAACACGATGGCAAATTCGGACAGGCCATGCAGGCTGGGCCAGACGGCCATCGAACTGACGCGCAACGCCCAGGGCCTCGCCAACGCCGCCTCAGACTTCCGCGCCGCCGACAAGCGCGACCTCGGCCGCCAGGCCGGCCACGCCCGCCTTCAGCGAGGGCGCCGAGACGGGCAAGGCCGTCGGCAAGACGTGGCTCAAGACGTTCGAGGTGGTCCCGCGCCTCGTCTGCCGCGCGCTGCAGTTCGTCTTCGCGCTCATCGCGTGCGGCTTCTACGGCCACCGCGTCGACGCCGACCGCAAGGACGAGGACGGCAGCGGCGGCTTCTCGCCCGAGTGGCTGTTCGCCGTCGTCGTCGGCGGCCTGTCGGCGGTCACGGCCGTCGCCTTCCTCGCGGCGGCGCCGCTGAGCGCCATCCCCGTCGTCGGCAGCCGGATCAAGATGTTCAAGACGTATCGCGCCTTTGCGTGGGACGCGACGCTGTTTGTCGCGTGGATCGTCGTCTTCGGCATCATGGCTGGCATCTTTCTCGGACGCGACAGCGATGACCCCTATAAGGGGGCCAGCACGGGCGCCATGAAGACGGCTGTGTGGGTTGACCTTGTCAATGCCATCTTCTGGGCCGTCTCTGCCGCGTATGGCTGTTTCAAGACGTTCCTGGGGGAGAAGGCCGATCAGGCGACGGACAAGATTGGCAAGAAGCTGTTTGAGAAGAAGCAACCGCAGGCGCCTGCCAAGAGCGACGGGTACGCGGAGAGCGTGTGAGGGTTTGAAAACTCAGAAATGGCATAGAGATGGACCTAGGCGTTAGCGGATACTATTGGGTATTGACTTTTGCATATGCGGCTTTGCGTAAAATGAAGTTGACTTTTGACCATCGCTGAGTGGCACTGGCAGACGGACGGTCTGGTGAACTAAAGCAGGGAAGGGACGTTATGTAAGCCAGACTCCCAGCTCTAGCTCAGCCTTATGGCGCCACAAATGTACGTCACTTGTCAGCCTCACGCGACTTCCACGACACCTGTTCGCTCCAGAGCCACAGCCAAGGCCAACTTTCCCATCCTGTGACCGCGTTCGTCCTTCTCCCCCACGGATTAGACCTCGCTACCCACAAAGCTCGGCTCGACGAGCAAACGCCGCCATCATGTCTCTCACCTGGGCTAAGTATGTCTCTCTTCGCCATGAATTGTATCGGAACCAACTAACGCGTGCCCTGTAGCGTCCGCTCCCTGGTCATCTTCTTTGGCCCCATCCTGCTCCCCAAGGCCTACGCCTACTACCAGAACCTCAAAAAGGCCCGCGCCCAGGCCGCTCTCCCGATCCGCCCCGTCACGCGCCCGGCGCTGCGCACCATCTTCTTCCTCTCCTTTCTCGCCTTCCTCCTCGTCGTCAAGGCGACGCCGCTCTTCGCCCCCGAGAACATCTTCGCCTTGACACAGTCCCGCCTGCAGATCCCCGTCGATGTCCTCTTCAACCGCCTCGCCGCTCTGCGGCCCGCCAACATCCTGACGCCCCGCGACGAGGCACTACGCGCCCGGTTCGTCAACCTCGAGTCTCGCCTGCTTTACTTCCAGTTCGGCCCTGCCGCCATCGCAGACTGCCCCTTCTGCCGCTCCGACGACCCCAAATCCTACGCCTACTACGCCCTGCCCGCCATCATCGCGCCGCACCTCCTCAACCTCATCGCCCTCGCCGCCGCCGCCTCTCGTCCCTTTGCCGGCCCCCACGGGCCCCCCTGGCGAACCACTGTCACCGTTGCCGCCACCGCCCTCGCCGCCCTCGACGTCTACCTCGTCACGGCCTACAACCCGCGCCCCAACGCTGCGGCCCTGCGCCTCGGCGAGATTGACACCTTCCACTGGACCGCCCGCTCCCTGCGCCTCATCGCCCTGGCGGCGCTGGACCTCGCCCTCGCCGCCGCCCTGTACCTCTCCTCCACGAACAGGGCGTTTGCCGCGCCGCCACCCGCCGCTGCGCGGCTCGAGCGCGTCAACCGCGCGCTCGCCATGGTTCGGAGCAAGATGACGGCGTTTGGCATCGTCCGCAACGCCGGCGTGCGGGACGAGGGCCTGAGGAGCAGGCAGTCCGGCTACTGGGCGCACGAGGTGCGCATTATGGGCGAGGTCATGGAGGAGAGGGAGGTCGTCGAGGGGGTCAACGATGCGATCGGCAGCGGACGGGTTGATATCGAGAGGATCGAGAGGGATGCCGAGGAGTATGCCAGGAGCGTGCTACAGGCTGAGGAGGAGGCGCCCGTGACGATGGTTGGTTGAGAAAACAAAAGGCCACAAAAGAAAAGGCCACATCCGTCATTCATGACGCGCGTGGTACGATAGAGACAGGTGGGAGGAGTCACGATACTGTTTTAGAAGACAGGCGATGAGATAGAGAGCATGTCTCGTTGCATTCATTGGTCAATTGCCGCCACGCCCTCCCTCCGCCCCTTTCGGGATCCTTCACCCTGCCGTACCAATGTGATACACACCGAGTGGCCATCATCTCGTCCCTGCCTGACCCCGGCCGAACGCCCTCCCCCGCGTCTACGGAAAAGCACGCAACGCCATGTAATGGTGTCCCTACCGTGGAACATTTCAAGTTTTTTTTTCGTTCTTGCTTCGTCACACCCTAAACAAAACAGCGCTTTCGCTACACAGAGTGGGGGGCGCTACCTGGGGAAGGGACTCTGACACAGTGACACGTGCTACTATGAGCCCTCTCGAAAACTAAACAAAAAAAAACACAATGCCCTTCCTCTCAATACCGTCGGCGTCTGGGCTCAGCGCCTCCTGTGCCTGGCGCTCGAGGAAGCCCGTCCAGAGATCGGCGAGCGACTCCTTATTGGCAGCCGTGCCCGATGTCGTGTCGGTGAAGAATTCGGCGCTCAGGGACGGCGTGCTGGGCGTGCGGTGGAAGGGGGAGGCGGGAAGGCGGAGCAGGCTGCTGCCGGAGGTGGTGCCTGGCCGGGCGAGGCCGGCCTGCTCGCGCTGTTCGTCGGTCCAGTCGAGATAGCCGGCCATGACCTGGAGGATCTGGAAGCGCTTGGGGTCGGAGCGGTCGAGGGTGAGGAAGTGGAGCAAGTGGTTGGTGACGACTTGTCTGAGGGGGGAAGCGTCAGCTGCGGATCAACATTTGAGCAAAGCCGTGAACAGCATACCTGTCAACATTGTCTTCGGGTTTGGTCTTCTTGAGATAGCGGAGGGCTTTGGTGAGGTGGTCGTTCAGCACAATGGCCTCGTGACGCAGCTTGCCGATGAGAAGGTTCTTCTCCTTGACCTCCTTTTCGAACGGTCCCGTGCGCTCGAGCTCCTTGGTCGCGCTCTCCCGTGCCGTCTCGGCTTCCACGGCGCGGGCGTCCGCCTCCTGGACGAGCTTCTTCAGCGCTTGCAGCTGCTCTTCCGACGTCTCGACCATCTCGCGGAGCTCGCGCTTTCGCGCCTCCTGGATATCGCTGAGCGCCTTCTGCAGGCTGTCAATGGCCTGCGACTGCTTATCCCGGTCGGCGGCGGCTTCCTGGTAGTTCTCGCGCAGGGTGGCGACCTGTTCTTCGAGCTCCGCCGTCTTGTCGACGAGGCTCTCCTTGACAGAGCGCTCCTCCATGGCGATGACTTCCCACTCGCCCATGGCATTCGTCGTCGTCTCGACCTCCTGCTTGAGGCTCGACACGAGCTTGGCCATCTCGTCCCGCTCCTTGACCCAGTTCTGCTGCGACAGGTTGCTGCGGCTGCGCAGACTCGTGACCTCCCGCGTTGCATCTTGCAGCTCCTCCCGGAGCTTCGCCAGCTCACTCTCGGACGACTTGGCGCCGCTCTGCAGCTCAGCGTTCTGGGACTCGATCTGCGCCTCTAGATCCTCGATGCGCTCCTTTGCCTCTTCGAGCTCGGCGCGATCGCGCTTCAGACGCTCGCCGAGGGTCGACTTGAGGTGGTTGACCCGCTCGAGGAGGCCCTCGTACTGCTCTTCGGCGTGCTCCTTGGCGCTCGTCGCCGCCTCGAGCTCCGTCCTCAGCTGCGCCGTCTCTTCGTCGTTGGCTTCTGGTTTGGTGGATGCCTCGAGCTGTTTTCGTAGTTGTTCCACCTCGACCTTGAGATCATCCCTCTCCCTTGCAAGGGCGTCAAACGCTGCGGTCGACTGCACGTTCGTCGTGTCGGCGGTGGCGACGGCGGGCTTCGCTATTGGGGGGTTCGCGTGGCCGTTGCCATCTTGCGCGTCATTGTGGCCGTTGACCTTTGGTGTGGCCTCGTCGGGCTGCACGGCCGTCTCCTCTGGTTGTGGTGTCGCCTGGTTGTTCCATCAGTATTACAGCACGATACCATCAGAGGGGGCATTCTTGTTACCTCGACAGGTGTCTCTGGCTCATCCTCACGTTCATCGGCGTCGCGTTGCGGCGCGGCAACGTCTACAGTCACGACATCCTTGGCCTTGTTGGCGTTCTTCTTCTTGTTGTTCTTCTTCTTCTTGCCTGCCAATGCGGGTCCCATTAACACACGATGTACACCCGCGAGACTGCGGTGGGGGGGGGAGGGGATGCCCTGAACAATGGGAGGGCGTACCTGACGGCGTGGAGACGGGGTCCGTACTCGGTGCGGGAGTCGACATGATGGGCAGCTAAGCACTACATCGAGAGGCGTAGCGAGGGCTCGATTCGGCGTGGGCAATCGTCAAATGTGTCCTGCTGCGAGGTTCTGCGAGACGGCGTACGTGGAGCATGCGCGACGTTCCATGTACAATGTACCTACCTAACCTTACACGAGACATGGAAGGGTCTGGTTAGTCATCGCGCCAACCACGCCAGCTGGATGGATGGACCCTTGTCTCGGACCAGGCACCTCAACAAAGGGACGGCCCCTGGCATTGCTGCACGCTGTACTTGCTGCTGTTCATAACAATATACCTACAATGCGGCTGCTTAAACTGAATTCTTGCCGGCCAATTGCTAACCGCTTGTCGAGCTTCTGGCCTCAGGACCACACCGGATGCGGCCACAATGGCCAACTTCCCACGTCTGTTTTGTTCTTGGTGTCCCGGAGTAAGGGCCGTGGCGTATGGCCAATGGGGCGCTTTCATGTACCATCAAAGAGCCATTGCCATATGGAAGGTGCCTTGCCCCACGGGTGATGCCAACATCCTGATACCTTAAGATTCAGAATGGATGTCATACATTTCGGCTATCGAATGGCCATAGACATAGACGCGAATAAAGGGGTCGTCGAGGTAGGTCCGAGTAAATGGACCAGTCTGGCAACCGTCCATACTCAGTCTCTCGATGGTGGACTGCACCCCAACGTCCAGCGATGTCGTCAAGCGTAGAATCATGAATCGAATTCTCAGCCGGCTTTATACTATACGAGAACGTTTCGATGTCGCTTAGAATAACACGGAGGCTCGCCACCGGATCATCCCGTCGCCTTGAAGCTACCTGCCCGCCCTGGGAGATCTCTCTACACCTATGACTTCTGCATCGTCAGAGTCCGATCGGCCGGCGAGACCTAAGACGCGGCCGAGAAGCAGTGCGCCGAGAAATGTGAGAGCAACGACAACAAGGGGGTTGCGTCACGGTACAAAGCGACATGCACATTGCCTTTTACAAGCACTCGTCAGAGGCGGTAATAGTACTGCTGTCTACGGGACTACACTTGCGAGATGATGCTGAACCGGTGATGCATTGGGCTCAGTACCTGAAAGACTATTCCCTGCCATTAACTGTGTGAGCGGTACCAGCTTGATATCCTTTATATCTTTGGCACTCGATCTGGACCAATTGGTGT